AAGAGGGGGCAGGAAGATTTTAAGAGCTAGGGAGGAGGTGCAGGATCATACAGCAATAGAGTCCTACAAGCTCCTGAGACCCTGCTCATATGAACCTACAGCAATGGTGTCAGCACGCACAGGATCCATGCAGACTCAAACAGATAAAATAACAGCACAGGGCTATGGATATGGGGAGCAGGCCCCCATCTTAGTTGAAGAAATATTTGCAGCTGATTACTGTGGGGAGGGACTCTAGATAGGTTGACTAGATTTCAGTGGATGAACTTGCACTGAGGTACGTCTGGGGACACTAACCTGACTCAGGCCTTGACACAAGTATGACAGAATGAATGAATTCCAGTGGGGGAAGATGGGTAGAATGGTGTGAATGGGGAAGGAGGTATATAGATGATTAAGATCCTCTGTATGAAATACACAAAAATTCAATACAAAGTGTTACTATCTGTTACGGGTTCTCCTCAGGCCAGCTGTGAAGACCCTAACCTGTATCAGGTCCCCTGCCGATTAGGGGGTAAGAGGCGCGGGGTCAGGACATACAGACCCCGGGAGTCGGGTAGAAGCAAGCACTAGGTGAGGTGCTGCAGACTCCTTTAATGCAGGAGGAGGCACACCTTATAACTCCCTTTTCTCCGCCCCCAAGTCCCTTTAGTCAGTGCATCGTTTTCTGATTGGTCCATGCCATGCAGTCTGTCAGCAGTCACTGGGCTCGCAAGCCGGGTACAGAGGTGGAGGTGTGGGCTCTTTTTGGCGGGCTATTTGCTGACTAAGAAGTGAAGTGAATTCTCGCTCTGGGCTCTGGGTCCACCCCATCTTTGGAGGCCTCCTGCTACAACTATCCTTGGAAAGTTTTAGTTCATTAGAAATATGTCCCATCTATACACAGACACCCAAAGAAAGGAAATAATTCGTTCTAGTTTGCTTTCTGTTGCTGTGTTAAAGCACTGACCAAAACCAACTTGAGGGAGGAAAGGGTTTATTTGACTCACAGTTTACAGTCCTTCACTGAGGGAAGCCAATGCAGGAAGGGAGGCAGGAGCTGAAGCTGAGATCATGGAGAACACTGCTTGCTGACTTGCTTCCTCTGGTTTGCTCAGCTACCTTTCATAAACAGCCCAGACCCACCTGCCTAGGGATGGCACTGCCCACAGTGAGCTGGGCACTCCTACATCAATCGGCAATTAAGAAAATGCCTCTCAGACAGGGTCCCAAGCAATTCTGATAGAGGAAATTCCTCAACTGGGTTTCCTCTTCCCAAGTGACTATAGTTTGGGTCCCGTTGACAAAAACTAAACAGCGCAATTGGTACCAACATCTCAGTAAACTATTTCTTCTTATTATTATTGTTAGTCACACATTACCTTGATTTAAGATATAAAGATTACACTGCTTCTGTGGCAGTTCTCTGAAAATATCTGTCATATAACTGATAGCAAGAAGGGGGAGTACTATGAAATATATGTGATGATCTGTAAAATGGTATAGGTTTTCATTTAATGGTCTCTAACACAACAGCTTTGCTGGGGTTCCCATATATTTACTCTCCTATTCCAGGAGTATTTTAAAAATCATATATCTCTATCATAAGTACTGTGATTTATTTTATTTTTTCAAAAATTATTTACACCATCAATATAGAACTCAGCTAATCAGAACCTCCATTTCACTAACACTTGGGCATAGGGAGGGGGAGTGAGCACTTGGGTTTTTAATGTAAACATACCCCGATGTAAACTCCTCCTCTGAGTACTAGAGTAAGTCACAGGGTAGCTGGATTTTTTTTTTTTTTGAGACTCTTAGCCCTTTAGCACAACAAGATTCACACTGTATCCCAGAAGGTTATGCTAAGAATTGCAAGAAACATCCTAGGCATCAATGCACAGTAACTAACATGTGAGTGTTATGTACTGCTGTTGTGAATTGTAATCATTACCACTGTATAATGTGCCACCATTAAATTATTGTTCAGTGACTAAGTGCCTTTACAGCTGATTGTATAACATACTTTGGGGTTAGATTATAAGTTCTTCAGATAAGAGTATCATGTACGGAATGCATCACAGCCATTCCTTCAAAGGACCCTTCATCAACTGGTTGGAAGGAAGACACTTATCAGAGCTCCCAGTCCTCCATCAAATCCTCATAGGAAAAATAGCTGTCAAAGAAGGGGGAACTGTGGTTGGATAGATGGCTGAGAGGTTAAGAGCAATGGCTGCTCTTCCAGAATACCTGGGCTCAGTTCCCAGCACCCACATGGCAGCTAACAACTGTCGGTAACTCCAGTTCCCAGGGGATCCGAAGGCCTCTCCTGTCCTCAGGCATTGCACATGGGTGCACTTACCTACATGCAGGCAATACATGCATACACATAAAATAAAAATTAAAAAAAAGTATTTGGGACCAACAGAGTTTAAGAGAAAACATGTAAGTGTAATATCATAAAATTCTCTCTCTCTCTCTCTCTCTCTCTCTCTCTCTCTCTCTCTCTCTCTCTCGTTTTTGGTAAAAAAAAAAAAGGATACATCTTAATGAGGATTCTGGGAAGGCTTTCCTTTCTTCTTCCTTCATTCAGCACTCCTTTCTTCGAAGATCTGAGGGGCCACGCAAGAACCAAAACCACAGTACCTTGCTCCCAGTAATTTAGCATAATCACCCATTGCCAGTCAGTGAGCAGGAGAGCAGGAAACCATCCCAGAGCTGCAAAGACTACTAAGGCACTGGGGGATAGAATCACAGAAGCAACCTGGTCTGGAAAGATTGTGCAACAGGCTGACTCTTCCAGATTCACAGAGGAGACTGTTCTGAGAATCAAAGGAAGAGACTGAGCCAGAAGGGACACAAGCACGGATTAGGATTTTTTAATATGGAGTAAAGGAAAAAAAGTAAAGGCAGAATCCTACCCCTACTGGGTTTGCCATCTGGTTAGGATACTTTTTGGAGTCATGAGAAGGGAAAACCCAGCATGCTTCCACAAGGAGGGAAGTCTAAGAAGGACTTTGTAAACAGCATCAGAACACACATTCTGTTTCTCACCAAACTGAAGTGATTTCCCTAAAATTCATGAATATAAATTTAATACACACCATGAAGGATTCTCTCCTTCACATCCCTTGTGATTGTACAAAAGAGACATATGCTGTTTATTTACTTGTTTCTTTGTCTCAGGGTCTAGTGCCAGACCCAGGATCCTGTGCATGCTGACAAGTGCCTCTGCACTAAGCTTCAACCTTAGCTGCAAGAACAGCATCTACTTCTCTTCAAGTGTTGGTCATAATTTTATTAAGTCTAAGATTTTTTCTGGTTTATATTTTTATTTGACAATTTCTCATATAT